TATCATGTCCGCATCTTGTACAGCAAATAACCACTAGGAAGAATGTATGCAATGTGTTAATTATTGAATCTGTCCTACCAATTTGATTTGAAACTGTCTCATTGCTATTTGTTTCTCAATAAAATTATTTTTAAAAAGGCACTGAAACACAGAAATATTTCTACAAAAAATGTGAGTGTTAGGATAAGGCAGTTGGTTTTTGTTGTCGTTGTTGTCTTTAAGCTTGCCTCAGAACTTTTGGAAGACCTGTTACAACACATTGTCAGCTCTGCCTTCAGAGGGGCTGATCCACTGGTCCTATGTGGGGTCCTAAGAGTTCACCTTTCTAACATATGCAGGTCAGGCCTCCAGTGGCTCTTGGTGGCCTGGATATTGTGGGGCTGGTGGTTGGCTGATCCCATTGTCAAAACCTCAAGTAGTTGAGATAATTGACACATTGGACACAACTGGGGGACAAAACAGCAAGTTAGGAGATTAAATGGAAAACTCATAATGAAGAAAACAGCAGCATAAAACAATGGTTTCCACTTTGATTTGCAAAAGAACCATCCCGACAGTTTGCTAACCAGTTGTTTGGCCCCCAATCCCAGAGATTCAGATATATGAGGTTGTGGAATAGAACACGAGTGTTCATTACTAACAAGTTCACAAGTCAAGCCTGTACATCTTTCTCAGGATCATGCTTTGAAAACCTCTAATATACAAGAAAGGCTAAGAGGTGGAGAAGAGACAGATAAGTGTCTGATAACACAGATTAAATTAAAATAACTTAAAGAACAAGAGGAGTAAAGCTTCAAAAATCAATGAGGAAAGACACTAAAAAGATCTTGAAATTAAAAACTTCAAAGAAGACTAAACATAGGAACAAGATAAAAATGCAGTCAAATATCAAGAAAGAATCCTAAAATCCTCCTGATAGGGAAAAACAGATCACCTACCAAAATTAAAACATATTGATGCATGGGCTGGCGAGATGGCTCGGTGGTCTAAAGCACCTACTTAGAACAAGCTTAGCAAAGCACAGGGACCGCAGTTCAATCCCCCAGCACCACATGCCAGCCAGCCCGCCCCCTGGTGGGCTGAGCTGGCCACACACACACACACACACACACACACACATAAATAAATAAAATTTTTTAAAAAAGGAAATTATTTAAAAAAAATATTGATGCAAAATTTTTGGGCAGCAATAAAAGAAGTAAAATAACAATGAAACAACACTTTTAATGTCTTGAAGGAAATGCACCTCAGATTTTACACAAAGCCAGAATGACATTTAAATATGTGAACGCCACAGAAACATACTCTTGGGAATTCTTTGTTGGTTTAAGTATACAGAGGTCCTCTTTGAAGATAGCTTTAAATAAAATATTTAAACAATAGGAAAAAAAGTATAATATATACCTTAAGAGACCTGGAAAAGAGGTAATCAGATTTTTTAGATGAAGTCTTACATTTCCATAAAAAATGACTAAAATTAATGCAAAAGAGAATGAATAATAAAGAAGTAAGTGTAAAACTTCAACATATTGATGAGAGTGATCCAAAGACAAGTGAGCTCATATTGAATTTTAGGGAAGAGAGGTGTGTGGCCATATGTCTTCAGCTGTAACTTTAAATCGAGTAATATGTAAAAGAGAGAAAGTGCAGAAGCAAGTTGACTTAATAAATTAAGATGATGAAACAAGTAGTAATTACAATGAATATAAATAGATTAAAATCTGTTGATTAAAGCTCATATTCATCAAATGACTAAAAACAAAAATGCCATATTTGTGCCACTTACAAAAGACACAACTAAAATAGAGGGATACGGAAACAGCAAGTGTAAAGGAATAAGAAAAACACTTATCAAATAGCGATCAGAAACTAGGTATGGCACGCCCCTGTAATCCCAGCACCAGGGAAGCTGAGGCAGGAGGACTGCCCTAAGACCCTGTCTCCAACCCCCCTACAAAAAAGCAATAAAAAGACATACGGGTGAGGCAATGGAAGATACATAGGTCAAAGAAAATGGTTGCTAGCCTACGCAAAGCCACCATCAGGAACAAAGCAAGGAAGCTCTCTAGCCCAATTCTCTTCAGTATTACACTGGAGGTTGTAATTAAAGAGGACTAAAGTGAAGGTGCTAGAGAAAACCTCCTCAGAGATGTAAGGCAGACTTTATTCAGGAGAAGCAGGTGCAGTTGAGATTTTGCAACAGGGGAGAAAGATTGGGCTCTGTTTCAAACAAGAACAAGTTGGGACTAACATCCAGGAGCAGGGCTGTGGGTGGGAAATTATGAGAGAACAGCATCAATGTTAGGGGCAGGCCAGGCAATGAGACATTCAGAATTAGAAATGGGAAATTCGATCAGATATTGAGGGTGATTGATACTGAGTCTGAGGTGTTTGTACTGAGCTGACGCAGGAGGCTTCTTGCTGGGTAGAAATGTGAAGAGGCAGAAACACCACGATTTGAGGAAGTGCAAGGCAAAGCGGGGAAAGCGCCTGACTGAACACCAAGACTTAGCTCCAGTAATTAGTGCAGCGTGGTGCTGGCTAATGACTGAATTCGTAGGAAATGAGGGGTTTCTTGGTGAACGGAGCTGGCATTTTGTCACACAGCCCAAGAACTCAGCAGGAGCAGGCATTTCATTCACACACTAATGTCTGACAAAGTGAAATACTGGGCAGGTTGTGGGGCTGCAGGATCTTCTATGAGTTACTGGTGAGGATATAAATTGAGGTGACTACCCCGAAAAAGTGTATAGAAAGCAAAATCAAGGTGATACTGAGCACAGGATGAGAGTAGAACCTGTATATTAATCTCAATTTACACACTAGACTCCGGAAGGACCAGCCAATTCTTAGGAGTAGTAAACAACTTCCTGGGAGATCACCTCCCACACCTACACAAACCACCAACTGACAGTCCTATCCCAGACAACCAGCTCTCTAGAGCATTTATAGTCCCAGCCACTATGCACCAGGCCTTGTCAACCCAGAGCTTGGAGCCAGACCATGAGGGACAGTTCCTCCCAAAGTCTGCTGGATTACTAAACTCACCCACCTCAAACCCATCAGCCTTGCCTCCCAGGATCCTCCCCACAGACAACACAGCAAAGGCTCCTTGTCTTGCTTCCATGCTTCCTCTGCCTCCTAACCAACACTAGTCTCCCTCCTGCCGTCCCGAGGGCCATGCCTGGCCGCATCTCACATGACAGTCATTTCCATGGCTCTGTCCAACCGTACTTAACTAAGACAAATCCCAGGTCTCCTTGAAACAGCTGAACATGCATGTACCCTAGGAACTTGTGTTTGTTACTTTTCTCATTACTAAGATAAAATACCTGATGCCCAAATTCAAAGAGGGAAAGGTTTATTTAGCTCACAGTTGGGGGAGTTTTCAGTCCATAATCAGCTGTCTCCTGGGCAGGGTCGCAAGGCAGAGGGACAACAATTTATATTGCTGAAGACAGCAAAAGCAAAAAGAGGGAAAGGAGAGGAGCAAGCTTTTTTCCTGCCTTATATTGTATGCAGGCTATCTGACACAAACCATAATAGGGCTATTCCTCCCCTGTGTGCAAATCAATGGAAACTCACAGTGTGAAGCAGGAGATAGGGATCAGAACATCCAAAGGAGGACTGCTTACACCAGTAAAGCCAGAACTCTCCAATGCCCCTCAGTGCTAGTGTGGGTTCATAAACTACAGTGTTTTCAGAGCAGAATATAATACAGTGATCAAAAGTTATGAAATACACTGTCATGTAGGAAAATATTGAATAAGACCTTCTTCGTTTACTCACAGAGTTCCAGTCCTACAACCAGGTCATTAAATGAACTGGTTGCTAAATGAGGTATTGTATACAGTGTACATATTACAATATTCAGAAGAAAGACATGGCCAGAGGAAACTCCAGCCCAATGACTTTGCTTTTATTTGCATAACTCTTACTTGCACTACTGTAACGTATAACAGAACATGAAGCTACAGTGCTGTACTCTACAGTACAATCAGCAACCATTACAGTACTATGTGCACAAGGCAGACTGTACAAAAAAAAGACACAGAGGCCCTACTGACAGAATAAACAAAACCGTACAAAAAAAAAAAAAAAAAAATCTAAGCCAGAGTGGCATTTTACAAATCCAAAGAGTATACCTCAGTCATAAGTCTGAATGGTCATTAAACAGGGAGGTCATTAAATAAGAAATATCTATTTTTGGAGCATGGGGACTAGACCTCAGGACTTTGCCTTCACCAGACAGGAGCTTGTGCCACTGAGCTACAATCCCAGCAAATGAGGAATGTCTATATTACTAACATAAATAAAAAATAAGTCCAAAATATTACATATAGCACAATATCGCTTGTCATAATGCTCATAGTACACCTATGTGTGTATGCATGTGTGATTTTCAGTACATTTAGAAATAGTCACCTCCCTCACCTAGAAGATAAATAAATAAATAAAATTTTTAGATCTCTTCCTCCTCCAAAAAAATATGTTGAAAGCAAAACA